TCAGAAAGGGCTGAGCGGGGATGGCCTCTCTCTTCTCCATGGATCAACATTGGGCATTAACAACTTTAAGTCAAAAGTGTTTCAAAAACTCGGGCTGTGAATGTAAAAATTTTTAGAAATACTTTAACCAATTTATTTTGTTTTCTTTTGTATGCACAAAAGAAGAGTGATATATGCTAAAGGTCATTTGTAATAAGGCTAAAATAGATCTTTCAATATGTATAATGAAAATACAAAAATTACAAATGGTAAAATGCACTGTGTTGGTGATTTTTGTAGTTCTTGTTGTTTGAGTGATATTTTAAATAATGGAATATCTTAAATAAATGATATTTGGAATTGATGGAATCTGGTGTACTTCTCCCTTAGAGGCTATTAGGTTTTCCTTGCTTCACATCCTTCATGACACTTGCTATTGTCATATTTTTATATATTTTTCTACTGATTCAACGTCTGTTTTGGTCTTAATTTGCATTCCCCTCATTACTGATGGGATTGGTCTTCTATTCAACAGATTTCAGGTCATTCATTTTCCCTCCTTTGTGAAATGCCTGTTTCTGCCTGTATCCATTCTCCAATTCAGTTGTTTTTCTTTCATATTGATTCCTTAGCATTCCTTGTATATTTAGGATATTAATCTTTTATCAATTGTTGCAAAGATCTTCTTCAGTGTGTGGCTCTTTTTTCACTCTATTTAATGCCTTTTAATAAAACAGAAGTTCTTAATTTTTTTATTGAAGTATAGTTGACACAGTGTTGTGTCAGTTTCAGGTGTACAGCAAAGTGATTCAGGAATACATATATTTACATATATGTATTTACATATATGTATTCCTGAATACATATATATATATGTATTCCTGAATACATATATATATGTATGTTCTTGTATTCTATGTATATATATGTATTATTTTACAAGTTCTTAATTTTAATGACAAATGTTGAATTTGTCACTTTTAAGTGAAACTGTTAAGATTTGCACTGTTTGTATCTTATTTAAGAAATCCTTCCCTGTTAAGCTGAAACAGATTTTATCTTAAAAGTTTTAAAGATTTAAAACTTAAAAGTTTTAAAGTTTTAAAAGATTTAAAGATTTTATCTTAAAAGTTTTAAAGAGTTCACACTGATGTCTTGAATCCATCTGGAATTAATTTATAAGTCTGATTCTTGCCAGGGATCTGATTTCATGTTTCCCATATTTAGAGTAAATTGTCCCAGCATCATTTGTTGTCTATTCCATGTTTTCCTTCATGATTTCTATGTCACCTCTGATGTGTTTCAAATTCCATATAGTTGTGGGCCTGGGTCTGTGCTCTCTGTTCCATTGTCTCTATCCGTCTATTGGTTTATACTGAAAGTGTCGAAACCGCACTGTCTAAATTATTGTGTATTGTGAACGATTGTATTACTGCTCCTCGCTGTCCCTTCCTCTTGCAGAGGAGGACTGCTTCCCTGCCACATTCATGGCAGGCTTGCCCTTGATTCCACCAAGGAAACGTTAATAGAAGTTACACGTGCCACTTCTGGACAGAATCTTCAAGAATCCAGGTGTGACTCAGGTGAATCCAACACCCTGGTAGCTGAGTAACTGTGATGTGCTGCTCCCTCTTGGGAACCTGGGATGGACATGTACATGTGGGACACTGAGATATACGAGTGGGAAATAAAGTTTGTGCTTTCAGCTGATTAGATTTGGTGGGTTTTGTTACAGAAGATAACCCACTAGAACCTGATACACACGGCGTTCAGTTACCTAACCTAACATACGCAGAGTGCTACAGCAAGCCTTGATAGTACAGGGTAAATCACCCCACCTAACTCTTCTTAGGGTAATTGTTGGCCATTTGCTCGTTCATGCAAATTTTAGAATCAACTCTTCAAGTCTCCACTCCACCAAAACCCTCTTGATGTTTGTTTATGATATCAACATATATACAGATACATTTGGAGGGATGTGAATCTGCAATCAGGACTCCTCGTATCAGTGAACATGGCATTGTCTTCATTTATTTAGGTCTTTTTCAATGCTTTTCATTTATATTTCCCTATGAAGATCTTCACTTCTTTTGTAAGTGCCTTCTCTAAATACCTTATATTTTTGCTGCTAGTGTAAATGGCATTTTGAAATAGAGTTTTAAACTGTTTATTGGTATTGTGAAGAAATGTATTTATTGGTTGATATATTCACTCAACTTGCTAAGCTCTCTCATTCTAAAAATTTAACTGTAAAATCCATTGGGTCAGTATAAAAATAAAAAAAACAACCACTGTCTTGATTACTTCTTCAACGAGTAGAGCTATGATGGAGGCATTTTTGATTTTAAAGAGAATGCCTCTAACACATCACCATTAAGAATGATATTTATTGGGCTTCCCTGGTGGTGCAGTGGTTGAGCGTCCGCCTGCCGATGCAGGGGACACGGGTTCGTGCCCCGGTCCGGGAAGATCCCACATGCAGCGGAGCGGCTGGGCCCGTGAGCCATGGCCGCTGAGCCTGCGTGTCCGGAGCCTGTGCTCCGCAACGGGAGAGGCCGTGACAGTTGAGAGGCCTGCGTACCTCAAAAATAAATAAATAAAAAAAAATTAAAAGAATGATATTTATTGAAAGCTTTTGGTAGAAATCCTTTATCAGATAATGGTATTTCACTAATATTCTTGGTGTGCTAGATATCATGAACAAGTCCTGGATTTTATCTAAAATTTTCTGTATATTTTGTGAGAAGTATATATTTTTCTCCAGTAATCTATTAATATGGCTAATTAAATTAATGCATCTGAAACAATATTAACATATTGTAAATAGACCCAGATTGGCCATGATATTTTTTAAACACTGCTGATTGAATTTAGTATTAGGTTAGATTTTTTTTGCCTATGCTCAGGAGAGAGGTTGGCCTGTAATTTCCTATTTTTGTGCTGCTCTTATCTGGATTTGATATTACATAAGTCTAGCCTCCTGAAATGCACTTGGAAGTGTTTTATGTTGTCTTTGGGAAGACTTTGAATGTGATCACAATCGTCTGCTTCTTGAATATTTGGTATGATATCTCCTATATCTGGTGTTTTCTTTGTGTAAAGTCTTTAAACTACTGATACAATTATTTAATATTTACTGAATGCTATGGACTGAATTGTGCCCTTCCTCCCAAATTCATATATTGAGCCCTAATCCTTAACGTCAGGCCTTTCAGGATATGATTAAGGTTAAGTGAGGTCGTAAGTATTAGGCCCTAATCCTATAGGTCTAGTGTCCTCATAAGAAAAGGAAGAGACACCAGTGCTGTCCTTCACACAGTCACAGTGAAAAGGCAGTGGGTGACACAGAAGGAAGGTGGCCACCTGAAATCCAGGAAGAGAGGTCTCATCAGAAACCAACCCCGCTGACACCTTGATCTTGGACTTCCAGTCATGGTTTCTTGACTCTCTGTCCTTTCATCTGGGTTCAGTTTCCTTGCTTCTGAAATACATTCTTTAGTGGTTCCTTCACCAAGCTTGTAAGGGTGTTCAACTTAGGCTTTGTACCTCGAAAATATCTCTGTTCTGTGTTCACTCTTGAACAACAGTTCAGTTAGATACAGGATTCTAAGTGGACAGATTATTTTCAAGGTTTGTCCTAAACATCTATAATTTCACTAAGGCTGAGTGAGCTGCACATTTGGGATTTGATCTCTCATGTCCATATTCATTAATGGGTTCTCTTCACAGAGGAAAATTTTTGTTTTGGGGACCGTTACTCAGAGCTTTACTGTCTGTTCTGAATCTCACTTTGCCCACCTCAGACTCCTCATAATTTTGTTCCTTTACAATCTTATCTGTGTGATATATGCTCCCAACCCTTTGGGAAAAGCACAGAGCTTTGTCTGCTTATGTCTGTCTCCACACCCTCTCCTCTCAGGGGCATCCGGAACAGTTACTGAGTGACTGAAGGAAGGAAGGAAGGAGCGGGGACTCAGGGCTCCCTCTCAGTCCCTCAAGGATTCTCTCTTCCCCTATCTAGCCTGCTCTGCCCCTCTTCTGGGCTCAAACAATGTGACTCATACACCTGGCTGCCACTGCAACAATTCTGGTTACTTGAGACCCGCCCCCACTCCTATCTCCTCTCACCCTCACTACAGGGAAATGTCCTAGGTAGTCCAAGACCTGGCATGAATGTAGTCACTTAGAAGGCATTCCCTCCTGTCCCCACGCTTTAGGCCCTGACCTGTCCCACCCTCCATGGGTAGTTAAGTTCCCTGACACCTTTGCATTCTGTGAAGTCACAGAACTCACCATTATTTGGCACAATGCTGCCATTTCAGAACTGAGGAGGCTCAGGAAAGGCTGAGAGGCCGAGGATCAGCTCCAGTGAAGTCTGGAAGTTTCTCAGTGCGCCACAAAGATGGAGCTTTCGTGGCCGCTCAGCCTGGAGGCGGAAGGAGAGTCCAACGCGCTGATGGGGTCTCTGGGCAGCACGGAGGATCCGCAGTCGCAGGACACGGAACACCTGCACTGACAACCAGGCTGTTGCCCGGGTCGCCGAGACCCAAGAGGGTAGAAGTCGCGGCGCACAGGGCGAGTGAGCAGCGGTAAGTGCAGCCTCCGCCGTGGCCCGAGGGCCACCTCCAAAGGCAGGTCCGCGCCAGGGCACCCTCCTCAGTCCCGCACCTGGGAGGCGCGGGGCAAGGCCTGAACCAGCGGGGACGGCGGGCCGGGGTTTGCGGAGCTGGACTCGCGGGAGGGCTGGGCCCAGCCGAGTGGGCGCGGAGCCGGCGTGCATTCCGTCGTCCAGATCTGCTCCGGGTGGTGCCCGGCAAGCGGGTTTCGTAGGCGCCCCTTTCTGCGGGTTCAGCCCACTCACAGGCCCCTCCCCTAAGGCCCGCGGACCCCTAGGAACGGGACGGTGCCCGAGGCCCCGCCCCAGAGGCGGGGGCAACTCGGGAAGGCGGGGTCTGACCGGCCCCGCAGGGCTCGCGCGCCAAGTTCCGACGCGCGTGTCACTGCCCCGACCTGGAGGCGGCCGGGGCTGCCAGCGCGTCCCCAGCGCCCAGCGCCGCGCGAGAACCGAGGTGAGACGCACTGTCCTGCCCCCGGGACGGACCCGCGAGTGGGCGTGGGGGTCGGGAGTCATCTCATTTCTACTGGCTTTTCCCCAGGGCAGGTTCTCAGTCCTGCCCTCGACTGCCCGGTTCTTCTCTCTCCTCTGTCATCAGCTTTCTCCATCGCTCCTTCTTTTTTTTTTTTCCTCCCGTGCTACTCCTGTCCCTGCCCGCTGCCTCTGTCTTTTGTCTCCTTGCCTCTTCTGTATTTTTCTCTCATCTGTCTCACTTTTTCCTACCAATCTTTTTATTACTTGTGTCCCCTGTCTTTCCCTTTCTCTGTTTTTTCTTCTTCTTCTCTCCCTCTCTCTCTCTCTCCTCCCCACTTCTTCCCTTTTTCCTTCCCCCCATCAAGAATTCCACCTTGGATTTTTGTTTTTTCTGCTAGGTCAACTTTTTTGGGCTGCAATTCTTGTAATTCTTCCATTCACCCACCCTGTGCCGCTCCATTATTCTCAGCCAGGGCTTGTACTGGGCACGAGGGTAATAATGATGCATTTGCCCCAGATCCTTTCTCCAACAGATTATATCCAAAGATCTGGGCATGTAACCTGTTCAGTGCCTGTTGTGGGAAAAATACATGAAGGATCAAGTTGTAAATCTCTGAGTTTTCAGGGTGAGCTGAAAGAAATACTTGGCTTTAGAGACAAGGCTTTGAATGAATCCTTTTCTTGGCATTTTGCCTTTAGTTACAGACACAGACAGCACCAGGAAGCTAAATCTTGCAGGATCATTTAGGGAACATGGGGCCCCACACCATCCTTCTGTGGAGGCAGTGCAAGGTTGCCTCCACAGGCAACCTAGGTTGGTGGGGAGAATGAGGGTGGGACTCAGAGAGCAGTTGTGGGAAGACAATAGGCCAGGGCTTTGCATGTGAAACATTTGGGTGAGAGTTGAAATAAGAAATTAACTATAAATTTCTAAAGTATATACTTGTCAATGCTGGTGGTGTGCAAAAATTAGGTTCCATAATTACTGTTAACTGATTCAGACTTTTTATAACAATTATTGTGGTATTTGGAAATTAATGTTTTTGTGTACACAGTGAAAATGTTTCATCATCATATCAAAGATTGTCTTAGATACATACTAAGTGAAGAAATACAGAAAAACAAATCTGGTTCATTTGTGAGAAATAAAGTAGAAAGTATTAAATAGCAAAGCAATTTTTTGCTTCTTAAAAATATAATCTTATCAGAGAGACATGATTTCATTATTTGATGATATTCTTATGTCATGTATAACTGTATGTTCAAACACGCACATACATAATATATATATATTAAGCTGGAAAAAGAAAACTTGTTTGGTTTTAAAGCTGCTAATTACTGCTCAACACTTGAAGCTTTTTGTTCTTATAATTAATCTAACCTGTCCTTTGAGTTTGTTATGATTTTTAGTGATAATTCAGCTTAACTTTTTGGTTGATATGCAAAAGGAAATTTGTCAATGGATAAATCACACAGAATTGAACAAAAATTAAAAATGATGGAAGAGGATTTCAGTGTGTTTATTGAAAGAAATTTTTTTCCACTTTGTATCAAAGAACGTTGGACACATTCATAGGTAAAAGCATGATTTGGGAGACTGTTCTCTGGATTGAAGAGTTAAATTGTCTTTCACATCATTTAACCACTGACTTCCCATGTATTAGAATTTTGGGAGGGGAGGGGGAGGGAATGCTTTTCCAATGATTTAGAACCATCATGCCTGCTTTGCTTAGCAGATATCTTTTTCAAAAAATAGGTGACAACTTTTCTTTAAAACAGATGCTCACATCTTTTTTCTTTTTTTTTGGATTCAAGGCTAAGTCTTGAGCTGCAGTGCTTTTAGATTTTTTTTTCCTTCTTCAATAGGCTGCATCTCTTCTTTCTAGCTAATGATGCTATTGTAGAGTCTGGCTGAGTAGTCTGTTGTACAAACCATGGCCTTTTCCTCTGAAGGCTGCCACAGGAATTGGCCCATGTGGCCAAGTGGTGTTAGGGCCACAGCTGACCCCACAGTGGGCCTGGGAGCTGGTTACATCCTGAGAATCCTGCATTTGGTTTTGCTTGGACATAGCAGGCATTGCTGCTAGGGGGATGTGGGCATAGATGAACATGGAGCCTTCGAGGGCTGCCTGGGAAGTCCTCTTTCCCACCTCGTGGCACCACCAGCCAGCCTCCAGGAAGGCCTGGACAACTCTGCAATTTTTCGTTTTCTCAGGGTTCTAGGGCTAGGAGGATGTCTAGAAAACATGTGTGTTTTCCTTTTCAGAAAAACACAGCACCTCACAGTCCACATGTAGAAGAGGTAGATGGATGATTAATTATCCTTAGAAATCTTCCAAAAAGGTGTGAGAAGCATCTCCAGAGTCTGGGGAAACCAAAGAATTGGGGCACAGGAGATTTTTTTCTGTTCTCACTTGTTTCAGCTGAAGAGGAAGGCAGTGCAGGAAGGCACTGTTGGTGTAGATGGTGTCACTAAATAAGACCTAATTTCTGAGCTGCAGCTTGGGACAGCTGGAGGCTGACCAGCTGACTTGGGGTGGTAAGTATCTGCAGACATCTCAGTAACATACTGTCGTTCAGTTGTTTGCAAAGAGTTCTTCTGTAAAGGGAGGGGGAAGGAGAAAACTGCCCAGGCCATTTGGTCACTTGTTAAACACTCTTGTGCACTGGTCCCTGGAGGGGCATGAATGGAGGGTAGGCAACCCTGAGGCTGTCTCTAACCTTCAGAACTAGTGCGATAATAAATTGATGCTACCTGTCATTTATTGAGCCAGGCTCTTTAGCACTCTAGACATGTTAATCCATTTAATCTTCACAAACACCTGATGAAGTGGACACCAAGGTGATCCATGATGAGAAAACAGAGGCAGGGAGAAGATCAGCACCTTGCCCAAGGTCATGTGATTGGTAAGAGCAGAGCTGTATTTGATCCAGGCATTCTGACCCTAGAACCCGCACACTTAACCTCGATGTGGATGTGAGGCTGGAAGGTTCCTGGGACGGCCTGGTTAGAACATGAACAGGAAGGTAGAATGTGGCCCGTGCTTCTCAGATGAAGCAATGATTCCTGTTATCTAGGAATAGATAATAAACAGAGAAACAAGTGCTTTTATGCTATGGGGTGGGTGAGGTATCATTTCTCAGAGAACTTCATGTTTTGGGCAGTAGAATCATGGTTGGTGGCCCAGGAGGACTGAACCCCGAGGCGGAAGTATCCCCATTGATAGGGAAGATTGGACATGGTCAGACACCCTGTTGGCTTGGGGAGCTCAGTTTCAGAAGGTTGCCAAGATCATCTGAGGGCTGGGAAAAGGTTCAGAGCCTGGCATTGAAATCAGGTTCTTTCAATAGGAAGACTGTGGGTGGTACTGAAGGATGTCTGTGTGACTCAGAGGGTTGTCTTGCTGAGCTCAGACTGAAAGAACCAAGGAAGACAAGAAGAGTCCCTTCTCAGGACACACACAATAGAGCGACAAGGATGAGTAAATCGTGTCAGGGGGTGAGAGCCCAGAATGAACTGAGGCTATTGAGGGGACTGGAGGACAGCAAAGGTCTTTTAATACTGGATGGGAGCAAAAGAACAAGGGCTGCATAGATCCACTCGCTGCCAGAACCGCTGGTGTCTGTGGAGGAAGAAAGAGGAGGGAGCAGCTCTGCTTTGCCCAGCGATTGTCTGGACAGAGAACCAGCCTCCAGCTGCAAAGGGCGTTGGTAGGTCCATGTAGGAAAGGGGGACAGAGGCAGCCCTGAGCAGCTGTGCATGTGGTCTCCTGACCCAGAACTCACTGTCCAGGGCCAGGAGTGACCCACACATCTGCAGAGGTCACCTGAGAGGAGTTGAGGACCATGGCAGAGGTGCATGTAGCCTGGAGCTGGATGAGGCTCAAAGTCTGATGTTGACCCTGGGAGAGAGCCTGCAATCTCTCGACGAGAGGAGATGAGCATTAAGAGCTGGCAGGGCGGCGCTTCCCTGGTGGCGCAGTGGTTGGGAGTCCGCCTGCCGATGCAGGGGACACGGGTTCGTGCCCCGGTCCGGGAGGATCCCACGTGCCACGGAGCGGCTGGGCCCGTGAGCCATGGCCACTGAGCCTGCGCGTCCGGAGCCTGTGCTCCGCAACGGGAGAGGCCACAACAGTGAGAGGCCCGCGTACCAAAAAAAAAAAAAAAAAAAAAAAGAGCTGGCAGGGCTCCCCAGGAACAAGCCATGGCAGACTCACATCATCTTCCATCTGAAAGACTTCCATCTGGTGATGGCCGCAGATGGAGTGGACTGAGGTTAGATGGGGCCCCAGATGGAGTTTGGTAGGACATTCTTTGCGTTTGCCTGAGTGACCTTACCCAGCAGCGCTGGTGCATGTGAGAGTGGTGGCCCTCAGGGAGCGCGGGCAGCATGCTGGGGTCCCCTGGCAGGTCAGTACCTCGGTCTCCTCCTTTTCTTCCTCCTCCTCCTTGTTCTCGTTATCATTATTAAGATTTGGACGGTAGCATTGACAGAAGCGATTTGGGGCAGATTCGGCAGATGGCCAGATCTGCAACAAGCTGGAGGAGCACAGAGTTTAGCACTATAGCACTTGCAGGTTGGAGATGAACACATTTGGGTTGAGACCTGCAAATTTCCTCACGTGGTTGTTGTGAAAACTCCATGAAATAAGGTGTGTTAAGCCCTTGGCATCTCTGGCATGTAGACGCTTACATAGTCAATAAGTGGTGAGTTGCATATTTATATCATGAAGCATCCTTTATAAATGAAGCAAACATTCCATCCTGAAGTAAGACCACATGTTCCAAATTTTGCCCCTGAGAAGGTTGTCCCATCTGTGACTCAGGGCACTCTGGACGGTTCTGTCAATGGGGTCTACATGGCTGTGGTTGGACAAGGTTGCCTAAGCTGTGAGGGTAGTGCAGCGGGGCTGTGTGCAGAGGGCTGCAGGGGTGCAGCCGGACCAGGGTCAGCAGGGCAGCCTCCTGCCCGGGCGTGGGATACATCAGGTGGTTCTAAACTGTCATCTGGAGAGCAGTGAGAGACAGAGAGTGAGAGAGTGAGAGAAAGGGGGAGTTTGTGTGATGGTGTGTGTGCATTTGAGTGTGTGATAGTATGTGTATGTGTTTGAGTGTGTGTGACTGTATGTATGTGAGTGTATGTGTATATGACATTGTGAGTGTGTATGTGTTGTGAAAGTGTGTGAGGGTATGAGTGTGCCTGTGTGTGTGTGTGTCTTTGTGAGCTCAGCATTAGGGCTTCAAGCAGACCAGTTATTCTTTGACAAAGGGAGAGAAGTGGCTTCATCCCAGCTGGAGTCATACACTGGTACATCTGGAAAGGAGATAATTAAGCCCAATCCCAGGTGATGGGAATTCGAGGCTGAGAGAGGTGGGAAGGACATCTCAGGGTCAGCTGGTGGAGTGATGTGACTGCCTCTTCCTCTTCAAGGAACATTGGTGGGCACTGATCTCTGATGTCAGTGGCATCCCCTTTGAGGACTCAGTTTGGAAAGGATGTTACGAGAGGCTCAGCTCTCCCTGGTGGCCAGTCTTGTAAGTCCTTTCAGGTTGACAAAGCTCGAGACCAGGCTCACATAGGAATGGGCTGAAAGGTAGGTCTGGCATGTGTTTCCTCAGGAGCTGTTTAAAGCTCAGAGGTTAGACAAAGAATTTGACTTTTTGATGGGGTAAAAGTTTGGGAGAAATCGGAGAGGAGGCAGGAAAAGGAGACCTAAACCCTCAACATGCCCTCATTTGGTGTTTGGGTCACATGGTTGACTTGGTGTTCACCTCTGGGGGCTCTGGGAGGGCGACATGGCCAGTGCAACCAAAGCAGGCTTGGCGACACACACTTGGGTTTCAATCCCAGCTGCGCCTCATCCTTGCAGGCGACATGGGGCAGGATGCTTAGTATTGCAGGACTTGGGTCCTCTTCATCTGTGAAAGAGGGTGATGACCCTCCATGTGTGCTGAAGATGGAAGGAGGTGACATATGCAAAACATGTGTCACAGACTCCTGTTGCCAAGATAGTGAGAAGGAGGGCAGGCACCTGTGCTTCCTTTTCCAGGTGGGGCAGGAGGCAGGGCAAGAGGAAGGAGCTAAGATGAGCTCAAGTGATGTTCCTGTGAGGAAGGAGCGGAGCTGTCCCCTCCTCACGGTCCTCCTGGGCTCAGGAGACATATTTGTTAATGATGACAACTCGGAACACTCAGCTGAGTGTGGTCCAGCAAACCTCTCACAAGCTGAGGGAGCGCTTGAAGATGGGCTTGCAAGCCTAAAGAACTTGCTGGTGGAGCAGATCAGGGAAGGGCAGGGATGAATGTCTTCCCAGAAGGGCTGATGGCTCCCTTTCCTCCTGGGTACCACCCTCACTTATGGCCATTGTGTGTCTCCCCTGCAGCCGTGAGCGCCTCAAGGGCAAAACAGAAGCTGATTCACCTGTTAGTGCCCAACAGGTGGTCACAGAGGGCATTTGACAGTTGACAGGTGAGCAGAGGAGAAGCAAGTGGATGAATGTGTGAAGAACAGTTGTGGTCACTTCAGGAGAGTGGAGAGGGAGACCCACACTTGGTGCAGGGGCAGGGCCTGGTGGAGAGATGGCTGCCCCCAGGTGTGGGAGCAGGGAACAGGAACAGCTCCAGACCCAACCCGCCATGTCTGGATGTTACTGTCCAGCTTTTACCCTCTGGTCACCTGTGCTGCAGCAGCTCCTGTCTCCAAGTGCTTGTAGTGTCTTGACATTTCTGATGATTTGGGAGAAAAATTAGCATACTGAGCAGCAAGGAACAAAAACTGCTTTAAATCAGGGTGCAAACATATTAGAGTTGTCAACCAAGTCAGACTGACTGGTAGAAGCCTTGTGCCGCTGTTGAAAGATAGCAGCTGCTGCCTGGAGGTTGACAGATGGGGGGCAGTACTGAGCCTGGCCTCTGGGTGGGAGCGTTGTGCGCTGTGGTCTTTCCCCCCCGCCCCCGATGGAGTCCTGGAGGTGAAAGCATTGTCCTCTGAGTCAGGGTGAGTTGCTGCATCTGTAGTAGTCAGGGTTCTTTGGATGCAAAGGACAAAAACTGTCTCTTGCCAAGTTAGCCAAGAAGATTAATTAGAAGGGCTGCTTGTCTAATATCACACAGCTGAGGACTGGCCGAGCCTGGACTCACAGGGACACTTGTCTGCCCCGAGTTCATGCTCCTACCAGCACTTGCCCTGAGACACCAAGGTCCCAGGTGAGAGAAGGCTTTCTATAAGTTCCTACAACCTGCATGCTCCTCCCTGAGTGGAGAGCACACTTCTCACTGCCTTTTGCTTCCTCTCTCTGCAGAGCCCTGTGGTCCGAGTGTGCCGACCCAAGCACCAGGGGAGCCCTTCAATCTCACGGCCCCTCCCCGGGCCCAGAAGCCTCAGAGACTGACAGCTGTTGGAGCATCCACCTGGCTCAGCCGGTCCAGGCCCTGCGGTCCCCATGGCTGCCGGGAAGGGAGCTCTGCGGAGCCCTTCAGCTGAAAACAGATGGCGGCTTAGTGAACCCGAGCAGGGCTGGGGCCGCAAGCCAGTGCTGCTGGAGAAAACAAACCGCCTGGGCTCTGAGGCTGCCCCGGGCAGCGGTGGCCGGGATGAGGCCTGTGCCGAGATGGCGCTGTCAGCAGCCCCGGGCAAATTCAGGCTGGGAAAGCTGAGGCCCCGGAAGGCTTGCTGGGAACAGGGGCAGAGCGCCTTCATGGAGGTGCCTCGGCTCAAGAAGAGGCTTGGGGGCAGGCAGGCCCAGGAGAGGGTGCACAGTGGCCCTGCAGGCCAGCCGGGCCCCCAGCAGCTGATCCTGGACCACCCCAGGGACCCGGCTAGCATCACCTGCTTCTCAGTGGGGCCCAGTGGGGCCCACGGGGAGCAGAGAAGTGCCTTCAGTAAGCCAACCAGGAGTCCAGCAGGGAGACTGGGGCCAGCCTCCGTCTTCCAGGCAGGCGGACCCGTAGACACCCTGGGGGAGCTGCTGGGACTCATCAACACAGTAGATGTCAGTTGCTGGGGTCGACTTTCCAACTCCAGGCTTTTGGTGGGTGATTTCTGGAGCCTGCAAAGGGTGGCACCAAATGCTCCTCTCTGCGGCACTTTCCTGGGTGACCCCATGCTGTGGCTCAAGCATGCCACGGCCCAGGTGCCCACACCTCCGTCGTGCTCCTCCACCGCCTCTTGGGCCCTGCTGCCCCCCACGCTCACCTCCCTGGGCCTGTCCACCCAGAACTGGTGCGCCAAGTGCAACCTCTCCTTCCGCCTGACCTCCGACCTGGTCTTCCACATGCGGTCCCACCACAAAAAGGAGCACGTGGGGCCCGACCTGCATTCTAAGAGGCTGAGAGAAGAGGCCCTCACGTGCCCCGTTTGCCACGAGTACTTCCGCGAGCGCCACCATCTCTCCCGGCACATGACTTCTCACAGTTAACAGGTGGTTTGGAACAAGGGCGTCCAGCACGCGGTCGTGAGGCTGAGATGGCTCACGGGGCCTTCCTCCGAAAAGACTGGTCACAGTCATCCGCAGGGCCGTCTCCTTGGGCGTTTGAGGACGAACAGCTCAGTCATACTTGGAAAAAGTCAACCTGCCCCCGGGACGTGCTTAAAGGAAGTAATGTCGTGAAATGATGCGCTTTGCTAATGGCAGGGTATGGTGACGAATGGCATCAAGTGTTTCTGACATTTTCAAGAGTGAGGGCTCTGCTCCCGTCACCGTAACTCTCGCTCCATGTGGAAGCAAGGCTGGCACCCAGCACGGGCTTTGGAGGCAGACAGACCTGGACTGGGATCTTGGCCCTTTCACATACTGGCCCTGAGCCTGGGCAAATTGCTCTAGCTATCTGAGTCCCGGCGTACTTCTTTGCAAACATGGAGATGGTGACACCTGTGTCTGAGGGATGTTGTCAGGATTGTATGGGAAGACGTGTGGGAAATGGCCAGCATGTGCCCGGCAGTGTCATCACAGAGTAAACAGTACTATTAGCATGATCCAGATTAGTCAACTATTGTTAAGTGACAAAGTTTCAGTGGCCAACAATGCAGAGCCCCTGTGTCTCAGTCATGGGCCTGCGGGTTGCCTGGGGTTGAGCTGGGCTTGACTCCAAGGTTGCTTTCTCTCTCAGGACTGTTGGGCTGCCCGGTCATGCTTCTCTCATGGTTACGCCAAGAGCACAGCAGGACAAGTCCAAATACCCAAGCACAGCTCAAGCCTCTGCTTGGCTTGCTTCCGCTGATGTCCCCTCGGCCAATACAAGTAGGCGGCCAAGCCCAAAGTTAAGGGGTGAGGTGTGCATATGGCCAACGGGGAGGTCATGAGTGAGTGTATAATCCTACAGGGGCCGGCGGAATTGGGACCAATAATTCAACCAACACCTGGTCCCTGGTTCTTCACGTTCTGAATACGTGAAAATGGGAAAACGAAACAACGCATACATGCACACATACACGCACACACACCCCTTAACTCTCAGGAAGTGAGCGTGCACAAAACCTTAAGGCTTGAGACATTGTGAAGACTGGGAGAGTTCTGGGTACCGTTTACTATCTGATGCATGTTGAGTTTCAGTACCTATGCTGTTTATCCACATTTGTCCTTATTCCTAACAATGCAAACCTCAGGTCATACACTCTGCTGTAACACAAGCCAGTCTGTGTGAAAGCCCTTTGTTGGAATTTCTTTCAAGTCACTGCAGTTCTTTTGAGTGGTTTCCACCTCACTTTCAAGATTTGTTCACTTGACCTGCAGTTTCCAACCCCTCCTCTGGGGCCTCGGTCACAGAGCTCAGGCTTGCGGGTGGGAAGGAGCTGGTGGGGGTCTCAGCCAGCTGCGAGCCAGCCATCCAAACACCTGCAGACTCCGCATCCCCTCTCCATCTCCACGGCAGGCTCCCACCTTGCCCGAGGCAGCTGCATGTCCCCCCTGGCCCAGCCCACACCTGTCCCTCTCTCTCCCACTCCCCCCACCTCCCACCCATTCTCCACAGCCAGAGGTATATTCATTCATTTCTTGGCCTCCCTGGGCACCTGTGCTGTGCCAGATTGTGTGCCAGGCCCTGCTGGGGGCACAGTGAGTTCGACCCACTGTGTGAGTCGAACATAGTCCTTGTTCAGGGTGTGAGATGATTAGGGTGCAGTGCGACAGATGCAGAACAGAGGCCTGTGCCGGGGTGCTGGGCACGTCGGGGGGCATGCCCAAGCCAGACCTGTGGGTAGGGGAGGAGGGTACCCCTGGAGACCTCCTGGGGGGTGGGGATGTGAGCTGAGCCTCAGAGTCCAGCAGGAGCTGGTGATTCAGACAGGGAGGGCAGTGCTGGGGAGAAGGTGGTCCTGAGCTGTAGTGTCGAGGCTGCCCCAAGGCCCAGGTGGGGCAGACTTAGTGGGGAGGTGGGCCTCTGAGATGGAGACATAGGAAGGCATCGAAGGAAAGGAGTTCAGACCAGGGCCCTGGAGGGCCGGCTCCAAGAAACCCTTCTAGGGGGCCTCTGGCTGCAGCAGGAAAAGTGGGCTGGAGGAGAGGAGATGGACCCTCTGAGCCGTTTCCTCTGCATCTGGAAGGAAGCAGCAGTGCTCCACAGAGGCAACAAAGAAGCACCCCCATTTCTACAGTGAGGCTTGGAGGCCCCACCCTCCGTGAAGGAGGTCAGGAGCCCTGCAGGCCGGGCCCCTTTGGGAGCTGCGTGGGGCTACAATTTGCCCACCGGGAGGCTGTGCCCAGAAGGGGGCTGAAGCTTTGGGGAGCCTCCCTCTCCTGCCGTCCCACGTGGGGGAAGAAGATTAATTAGAAGGGCTGCCGTCCCATGTGGGACAGGAGAGGGCACCTCATGGGCTTGGAATCTGAGACTCCACACCATGCAATGATGTATGTTATGTCATTTAATCCACATGATATGCCCAGGAGGTAGATACTTTTAAAAATTAATTAATTAATTGATTGTTTTTAAATTTTGGCTGTGTTGGGTCTTCATTGCGCGCGGGCTTTCTCTAGTTGCGGCGAGCGGGGGCTACTCTTTGTTGCAGTGCGCGGGCTTCTCACTGCAGTGGCTTCTCTTGTTGTGGAGCACAGGCTCTAGGCGCACGGGCTTCAGTAGTTGTGGTGTGTGGGCTCAGTAGTTGCAGCACGTGGGCTCTAGAGCACAGGTTCAGTAGTTGTGGCACACGGGCTTAGTTGCTCCACGGCAGGTGGGATCTTCCCAGACCAGGCTCGAACCCGTGTCCCCTGCATTGGCAGGCAGACTCCCAACCACTGCGCCACCAGAGAAGTCCCACAGGAGGTAGATACTTAATTCCCATTTTACTGCGGAAGAAACTGAACTCGAAGAGGTCAGCTGACTTTCCTAAGACCATGGGTTCTGGAGAAGCGGTACAAGAATAAGACCCCAGGACTGCCCGACTTGTGCTCAGATCCTTCCCAGCTTGCCATGCGTCTGCTCAGCCCAGCCAGGTTGTGTGGCATTGTGGACGATGAAAAAACTGGGACTTAAGACAGGCATTGACTCCCTGTCTACAATTGCAACTTGCACCCTTCCTCCCCTCCCCAACATTTTCTATTGCCCTTCTCTTGAGCACTTTGCACCGTTTCGCTTACTCTTTTTACTGATTTGTCTTGTTTCTTGTATTTCCCATCACTAGAAGGTAAGTTCCATAAGGGATCTTTGCTGTTTTGTTCGCTGCTGTATCCCCAGCAGCTAGAGCAATGTGGGCAAATAGCAGGCATTCGACAGACCTTCGTGGGAGGAATGAACGAGATGCCCGGTTCTGGCCTCATTCCTGACAGACCAGCTTCGCACAAGGGTTTCGACATCTGTTAAAATGGATGCACAGCTGTTCTCCTCTGACTTGTCGGATTGCTCTATAATTTCTTCGGAATCAGTTTGACAGGCATAAGTGCACTATACTAAAACAATAGAAATTTAGAATTGAAAGGGATTCTACATTTCTAGTCCATCCCCTGACTTTATAGCAGTGAGCATTGAGGTCCATGATGAGCTGATGTGCAAAGCGATGCAGGGCAAGAGGTGGTGAGGTCAAGCCTAGGACCCCTGAGATGTCTGCACTGCTATGTCCTCCCTGGCCCACCAACACTTCTCTGGGAACCTCGGCTATGGCTGCAAACAGAATGATTACTGATAGTGAGCACGTCATTCATAAGCAAGAGAGACATTTTGAAACAAAATTAGAGTTAATTAATTTTATGAAGAAGCACAAGAAAACATCTCCCAAGTCAACTTTTTAAGATGGAGTTCATTTTGGTAAAAATCGATGTAGATGCAAGTTGCTTTGTAGCCATTCAAATTGACAGACGCCAAGATGACTTATGGAGGTGACGACTTACAGTTTATTAATGTGGCAGTTCCTGCTTGTCACCAGGCCGCGTTCCCAAAGTCCCCATGGCAGTTGAAGCCTGTCTCGTCCCTTTTCTCTCCTACTCTCCTATATCGACTTGAGATCAGTCACTTTTAATCATGACTTTGCCCACGCTCTCTCTGCCACCTTCCATCCCAGTTAAGAGCTGGCAGATAATGTTGCCACAGAACATCACATCAGCAGGTATGAATTTTACTCAACAATTCTGGGGTAAGAATCATCACATTCCTTAAATTCTCTATATCTAATTTAATCTGTTCTCTACCGTAATCCTATTCTGGTAGGACAGGCAGTCTGTCTTTCTAAAATCCCTCCCCTGTCTGTCCAGTTTACAGAACATTCGCCAGCACCTCCCACCTAGGAATACCCTCTCTTAGCATCAAGCAGCGTCCGCATGCCGTGTCGGTGTCTTCGCCTCTATCCTCCAACGTGCTCTGGATCTTCTCCCAGGATCTCAGCCCTGGTGGTTTTCTGGCAATACCATCATTAGGCAGGTAACACAGGAGCCACTGAGCCAATAAACAGAAAGTCTTGGCTTGCTTTTTGGACAATGGAAGAGAAAATACCTATAGTGGCTGGAAAAATAGCAAATTATATCTCAATATATGACCTCCCAGACAGCAGCCATTCCATTAAGATTTCTAAAAGTCCCCCAAATGTGCTCATGAGGCTAAAATGAGACATTCTGAATTCATATCCTTTTGAGTTCTCAATTTTTACCGAGATTTGCTTTTCTTTCTGCTTTTATCTGGAAGAGAAGTAAAACCTTAACAAGGCCAGGGTCCTAGGTCCATATCTACTTCTGGCCAACTTCTGAATCTTAGACCGCAGATTCTACTCAAAAGACTATATAATTATGTTAATGAAAGTGTGTGTAGCCCACTGGGCTTGGGGAGAGCGGAGGGAAGGGGAGGTGAGGGTCAACCTGACACCTGGAGCTCATGTGCCCTAGGTGAAGGCTCCTTAGTGCCAGGCCAAGTGCAGCTCTCAAGAGAGGCCAGAAATCAGGACCGTATGCGGAATTGTCTCTCTCAAAAACTGATGGCCAAAATGGCATGGACTTAAGGAAGCACGTTACTGGTGGTGGCATGGGGAGGGGCAGGAACCACCAGCTGGAGACCCCTAACTCTGTTATGCTCCCAGCCTTTGAACCAGCTGGGTGGTGGGCCTGGCCCTGCTAACCTCACAGTACTGCCCTGTTCCTCTAGGCACAGGGAGAGACCCTATAGAGGGGTGAATGTCAGCAGGCGTCCTAAGGTAAACCTCCCAGCCTTTCTTTCCTTGGGAGGTGCTGCCGCCCCCTGGTGGCAGCATGCCTTCCCTGCAGGCCACTTCTCTTCAGAGAAGGCGTTTTACATGCCCTGCCTATATGTATAATTTTGTTTTTATTTTTTGTAGTAGAAGTCATGTGTGAGGTCTAAACATCATATAGTAAGATATGAAATCCATAGAATAAAACTTTTATTTTAAAAACAAATTATTCTCCAATGTGTTTTGATTTGTGCCGCGTCCTAGAAAAGAAGAATTTTTGGAAAGCGATTTTGGTTTTGTTTTTGTTTTTTTTGCGGTACGCGGGCCTCTCACTGTTGTGGCCTCTCCCATTGCGGAGCACAGGCTCCGGACGCGCAGGCTCAGCTGCCATGGCTCACGGGCCCAGCCGCTCTGCGGCATGTGGGATCTTCCTGGACCGGGGCACGAACCCGTGTCCCCTGCATCGGCAGGCGGACTCTCAACCACTGCGCCACCAGGGAAGCCCAGGAAAGCGATTTTGAATGGGTGTTGGGGAGACAGTGCCTTCTGGAAGGAGGGTAGCCGTTCTTGTTCTTTAAATGTAACTTTTTCTTCCCCGGTCACCTTATGTTTTCCTGGAGCAGGAGACAGGAAGCCAGTAGCCTCTGATACCCTTGCTATTCTAAGCTGCCTGGATTAGCAGGCTATTTTCACTGCCAGCCACCCTGATCTGCAAGGTAGCAAGGAGGTCCTTAGGCAGCTAATCCTATAGAAACCAGGAAGTGTGAGTTGAGCACTCTCCACTGGGGACCTTGGAGGCAGGTTTCTTTGCCCACAGCTGTGATTCGGGCTGTATCCTTTTTCTTTCGAAGTTGTATCCTTTCATTGCATTAAAGCTGTGTGGGTGGCCATGACCCTCACTGATACACAGACGGGGCGTCTGCTTCGTGTTGGGCTGTTTGGCAAATGGAGGCACACAGAAAGCAGGGGGGTGAGTGAGATGGGAGAAGAGCTGGGGTCCTACCCTCTGGTGCTCCAGCATGGTGCCTGAGAGCTGGGTCAAGTCTCCAGCAACGATCCTGATGGTGAAGGTCCAGCCTGTCTGTGGCTGGGGATACCCTGGGAAAGGGGGTGGACGGCCTGGTCCAGCCCCTCTCACAGCACATCAGTGGGTGCCTTGAGGGGTCCTCAAGCAGGGGGACATGGGAGCCCCTCTCACAGCACATCAGTGGGTGCCTTGAGGGGTCCTCAAGCAGGGGGACATGGGAGGAGGTTGCATGGCAGAGCAGTGGCCCTGGCTACAGGCCGGGACACAGAAATGGGGCAGGAGGCTGTGGTGGGGATTTAGGTACCGAGCCAGGACCTCAGGACAAGGCAGTGGGGATGGACGGTGCAGTTCATTGTAAGAAAGCAAAGTCTGTGGCTGGTTGAAGTGGAAAAGGATATCTTGAGAGGAGCCAGGGCTGCACCCAGTGTTGGGTGGGCAAGCAGGGGGCCCAGGCTGAATAGTAGGCAGAAGCAAGGAGCTACTCGGCAGGACCTCAGCTGTGGTCAGGCAGGGGAACCACCTCTGGAAAGTGCTGCTTCTGCCCCTGATAAGTCGGGGCATGGCCATGCTGCCCTGCACGCTGGACATCTGGTCATTGCTGCTACCAAGCTTCCCTGGGTCACTTGCTCCATAAAAAAAAAAAAAAAAAAATGTCCTGCATAGGGGCTTCTGGTTGGCCCAGGCAGGACCACATGTCCATACCCCACAGCCAGGGAGCTGGAAAAGTGAGCGTCCAGGACATCTGGTTTCATGGTGGGGGAATGGTTACAGCTGACATTGGCCAAGTACTAGATTAATCATTCAATCTACACAGCCCCAAAAAGTGCTATTATCTCGTCCATCGCATGGATGAGGAAATTGAGGCACAGAGATGTGAAGTAAGTTGCCCAGAGTCACACAGCCTGCAAGTGGCAGGGCTGGCCTTCCTATCTGGGCAGGCTCAAGCTGGAACCTGAGCTCCTAACCACCTCTCTGCTTCTGAGTAAGTCTGTTTCCCACAGGTTCATATGGGGAGCAATTCTCTGAACATCCAAAGGGGGTGCAAATGCTGGTGGCCTAAAGGAGGGCAAACATCCACTGTGTTAGGTGTGTGACCGCCAGTGAATAACTGATCCTGTCTAAGGCTCTGGGCGGAGCTGACTCTGGTGGAGGTGGTAACAATGGATGTCCATGTCGTGTGAAGCTCAGAAGAGAGATCTGTGTATGTCACCCACCCTAAACTGCTCCGCCCCTTCCCCTGTTTAAGACCCACCAGGGTATTTGCCATCTGTGACCCCACAGTGCCTGTGGGACACCTTAAACAAATTAAGCTGCAGGAAACACCAGTGGTGCAAATCAAGGAAATCCAACAGATGTGAAAGGAAAACCCATAAAAAAATGAACAACCACTAACGATCACTAAGGTACAGATAGTGAGTCAGTTATATAATTTATGTTATCTTATTTATTATATTTTTGGAATAATGATGACTGCATTTGAAAATAATGATATATGCTAATTATAAGGATTTAAGAAAAAGAGAAAGTATAAATAAGAAAGTTAAAACATCACCCCAAATGCTACCATCTAGAAGAAACCATTGTTTGATTTAGGTAATCATCTCATAGCTGTGTGTGTGTATATATATATATATATTCTATATAAGGTATATATGTATATTATATATTATATATATATACACACACACATACATATATATGCATGTATCTCTTTGTGGGTGTATGTGAGAGAGAGAGAAAGAGGGAGGAGAGAGAGTCCTAGAGTGTAAGCATATAATGTGGTCACACATTTGCCTGGGTAGCAGTAGGTTTAATGAAGAAAACTGTGAGATCACAGTATGTATGATAACTACTAAAATACGATCATGCCATGAATCTTACTTGAATTTAGCAGGAGGAAAAGGAGCTGGAGAGAAATCTTGCTTTCCATCAGGGCTTTCCAGTTTAGACAGGGTTGTTTTGAGGTGTTCTAGTGGAGAAACCCCTAGGGATGGTGGTGGCCCAGATTCCCCAGATCTCTGAGGTCTAGGGAGGGGGCTGATGAAGTCCAGGCCATGCCTGGTGCCCTGGGGAGTCGCCTGTGGCAGCTGCAGCCTGGACTCACCAGAGGGCCGGGCCAGACAGGACCAGAACTTCATCCTCACCCCGGCAGTCCTGGAGCCTGGAGCTCTGGGAGCAGGGATTGTGCGCTGGGATCTCCCTGCCCTCCTGGCCTCGCCCCACCATGACTTTGGGCAGAGCCTCAGAGGTCTCTCATTTTTGGGTCCCTGTGACTCTAGCAGAGCAGAGTTGCATGGGCCCAGGGCACAAACCGGGGGCCTCTCATTCCCCCAGGTTACCCCTGGGCTCCAGGTCTCCTCCCAGGGCTGGCCCAACCCTGGGGGAGGTCTTGGGCTCTGCCTGTCTCAAACTGCTCACCCTGTTAGGAGTCAGCTTGGTCGCCAGAGCTGGCACAGTGACAGGCTGCACTTGGATAAGCAGGGCAGGTCCCCAGGCCACCACGCAGGGCCACTCTCCCCTCTGGTAGCAACGCTGCATGGCGGGATTCTGCGTGACACCAGAGCTCACTTTTGGGTCCCTGGCAGAAGCAGGAGAACAAGGTCATGGAAGGAACGTGAAGGAAAGATAGACTTGCTGTGTAGAATTGGATTGGGAGGGTTTAGGGCAGGGAGGAGAGGGTTCTAAGTGAAACTGAACTTGTCTCCATGTGTCTGAGGGCTGCCACTTGGAGGAATACATAGTTTTGCAGCTTCATAAGCATGTGTGTTTACTGTGTATCCACTGCCTGTGTCAGGTGCCATGCCAAGTGCTGGGCAGCAGGAGACGAGGATGCGTAGGACGGTTTCCACCCCTGAGGACTACACAGCGTGGCGGGGAGAGAAATGATCCTGGGGCAGAGTGGCAGAGGTACACTACTGGGGAAGATGCGGGTGTAGGGAGGACAGAATGGGGACAGTGTAGCGGGGGAGTAGGGCTCCTGACCTCTGGGCCTGCACTGTCCCACATGGGAGCCATCAGCTGCAGCGTGGTTGCTGTGTGCTAGACACGTGACCTGTGCCAATGGAGATGTACTGTAAGCGCGGGACACACACCGGGTCTCAAAGACTTGGTGCAAAAGCATCTCATTCATAACAATTTTTATACTGAATATGCATTGAAATGATACTACTGTGAATATAGTGGGTTAAATGAAGTATACTATAAAATTAATTTCACCTGCTTCTCTATACTTTCCTTAAAAATGTAAAGTGACACGTGTGCCTGGCCTCCGTGGCTCACGTTATGACGTTATTGGACAGAGACGCTCTAGTTGACAGCATGAGGACCAGGGGTTGGTGATTAAGAAGCGTCGGTGGAGATAGATATGGACTTCACTTCCCAGGAGGGGGTTGACTTTGAAGGGGGTGAGCTTCCTGTCCTGAGGTGTTCCAACAGAGAGGATGTTAGCCATTGGGAAGAGACCAGGTATATGAGCTCCAAGGGTACCTCTGATTCTCAAGCCTAACCAGAGGGCAGCAGGCCCCTTTGCTGCCCTTTGGGGGCCTCAGTCAGGACCTCATGCCTGGGTGCCCCTTGGACGTGTCCCGGAGGTCCCGGCCTTTTCTGGCTCTGACTGCGGTGGCCCTTGCGGCGGCCCTGCAGGCGTGGGCTCCGCCCCGCCCTTAGCAGAGTGTGCTGGAGCATCTCCTTGGCTCTGGCGAGGGCTGCCTCTGCAGGGACAGCCACGTCAGGCACCACGCCCACCCCTTCCCAGGAGCTGCCGTCTGCAGCCCCCACCGAGCGGGCAGTGGGGATGGTGATGTACAGGTCGGTGTCATCCACGTGGTAGGTTTGCGGCAGCTGGCAGCCCCCACTGGTCACTTCCCCGATGACCAGTGCCCGGCCCAGCCTCTTCAAGATGTAGGTAAATTCCTCTGCGGCGCCAGCTGTCAAACTGCTGGTCAGAATGACCATACTCTTCCTGGAGCCGTAGCGTTCACCTGCAGGATACAAGGCCCTTCAAAATAGGGAGTCAAGTCCCCACCCTGGGCACCTGCCTTCTCCATACTGCTTAGACTCCAGAGAGGAGGGCCAGGGATTTAGTTCTGTGTCCTTGTGTCCACAGGCAAGTCACCCCACCTTTCTGAGCCCCAGTTTCTGCATCTGCAAAATGGGGATAAGGATGTGTGCTGTATCCCGAGCATGCCAGTGCTTGAGAGATTTTATCACCAGTGATGGGAAGAGGCTGGACTGACTTACACGAGAAAAGGGCTAACCTGACCAGACTCTCTTCACTTTGGACCCTCAGAAGAGCCAAGTTTGTGACTTAATGACGACAGCCCTCTAGGACAGTGATGTCCAATAGAAAAGCAACATGAGCCCGAATGCAAGCCACATACGTCATTTCAAGTTTTCTAGAACCCACATTAAACAAGTTAAACAAAATTGATAAAAGGAATTTTAATACTGTTTTATCTAACTCAATAAATCCAAAATTTGTTCCTCTCAAAATGTCATCAATAAAATTATTGAGATATTTTACATCCTTTTTTCTCATAAAAAGTCTTCAAAATCTGGTGGGCACTGAACACTTTATGCCTCTCAATCCATGTGTGGCATGTGGCTTCCGTACTGGACATCGCAATTCCAAGGCCCCATGATCTGCAGATCTGTTTTTAACGACTGGTCTTGAATGTCTATTTGAATTGAGAATTCATCTGGTCCTGTTTTATTTACATTTTGCAATATTATTGAATGTATATCTTGGAAGATTCCCTCCAAATGCTTGTGTGATAAGGAAGTATGCAAATGAAAATTGCAGGGTGCTTTTCTGATCGGAGGAGGCACAGCCCCCATTGGTTTCCCAGCCTCCTCTTTCCAGATGGATGAGCAGGTTCCTTGGTTTTGCAAGCTAGGCAAGGGAGATGGAGCAAGACTTTCCACCTGGGCTGTGGCTGGAGAGCCGTGGCTCTGTAAAGCACGGGGCCTGCACTGCTTCCTCTGGCCACTGCTCTGGGCCCAGGGCAGTTAACAGAAGCCCCATCAGACTTATGAACTTCCTTTAGGTAGGTGTGCTGGGAAACTGCTGAGAGTTCAGGTGAGATGGAAAACCACTGGAAACGCTGTGGGATTTGGCGATGGCCCGAGGACCCTTGTAGCTTTACGTTTGTCTTGCAGGCTGATGGCTGCTGTGGCAGGAATGGCAGGCATTTTGGTTTTAGACAAACCAGTGTTTGAGTTTGGGAGCTATCACTTATTAGCTGAGTGACCTTAGACAAGATATTTGACCTAGTTGGGACTCATTTTTCTCATCTAGAAAATAGGTATAATGGTACATGTTTTGCAGGGATTAAAGGTCTTATGTACAGAGTACACGGCATAGGACGGGGGCTTTATATTCTAGCTACAGTTACTTTTACCCGAACCCAAACTGTCTTTCCTTGATTTCCCAGAAGCTTCTAGAATGATAATAGGAAGGAAAGGCTCCTGTACCCACCTTCGAGCTGTGCGTGGGTCCAGAGCTCGCTGACAGAGTCATTGGGCCGGTTGTAGATTTTGTCCAGCAGAATAGGTGGGCCTTCGTCGAAAAAGTAGGAGCATATGGCGGAGATGGAGGAGGTGGGACCACCGATGTTGAACCTGAGGGAAGGGAAATGTTGCCCACTGAGGGGCGGAGCCCACAGGGAAGCCCTCGGTGCCCCTCTGGGTGCCCCAATCCTTGCCCTGTGGAGGGTTCTAATTCCAGGCAGCCTCAATCTGGTGTCCTTTCTTCCTCCTACAGAATTCTTTGGTTGGCATTTCCCAGAATACAAGATTCTTGAGAACCAGAGACTTTGTGGTCAAATTCATTTAGAAAATACTGCATAACTTACCCACCCCTTCTGTTCACACATTAATACATTATGTGGTACATATTGTATATGTTATATTAAGGGCCCTAAGTCCTGCAGTCTGGAACTTGTTGATAAATTTCCCCAGCTTACTGACCGTGGACTGTTCCCATGCACCCGTGCTGCCTGCACATTTTGAGAGCACTGTCTTCCCTAGTTTCATGCCTGATAATTTCACAAAACCCACTAGGTATCTTAGTTGAGGTGTCCTAACATGGCTCTTAGTGTGGTGGAGTGTTCAGAGTTGTGGAACTGCATTGGGGGTGGGGGATCCTGTGATCATTCCAGGCTATTTGGATTTGTCCTGCTGTGTGACCTCGCTGGGCCCCTGTCTCCTTATTTGTGAAACGAGGAATCCTGGGCTGGCAGTGTATTAGGAGTCTCTTCCAGTTGATGGTCTAGGATGGGTTCAGGGCCCATGACTTCGGCATCTGAACCTCCAAACCTTGGCTTGGAAGGATCTTTAAGCAAAGCACCCCTATGGGCTGGGTCTCCTCTTTAGAAAAATGTGGATGACACAGTTAAGCAGAAAGGGACTTAGCATGAGGGCCATTTGGATGGTCAATAGAGCGTTTGAAGAATAAAGTCATCAGAGGTGCCACAGGAGTCCCCAAGCTCAAGTTCTGTGTATACCCAAACCCAAGCCCTGGGAGATGGTTCATCTTCCAGGGAGGAGAGTCTGCCTCTGGGATCCGGTGCCACCTAGTGACGACTAAGAATCACAAGAGTTTTGCAGGCCAGAAGCCAGAGCTCCCTCTCAGTCAATCCAGCAGCTGGGGATGGGGGGTGGGGGGGCGGGGCGGGGGGGAAAGTGTCCAATTCCCAGGGGAACTGGCTCCCCCCTTCCCAGTGCCCATGGAAGGTGCCCAGGGCACGTCTGCTGATGGCCCCGGGAGTGACAAGAGGTCTGGTTACTGAAGGACATTCTTCTACCCCTTACCCTCCCAAGTCCCCTTCCCCAGCTCTCGGAAGGAAACTCAACCTGTATGAGGCATGCCTTCACAGAAGCAGATGAGAGGTCTAGCTGAAAGCATCCCCCCAACAATCATTTTGTAGTGTAAAGAGTTCTTTTTGCAACAATAGTGGCTAAATCGCAAATTCTCTCTGGGCCACTGGCTTTATGATTCTCATGACCAGGGCTGTCCTGGGCTGATTTCGTGAGATGTGAGACACAAGCACAGGTGGAAGCCTAGCTGTCGCAAACACGGCTGATCATCAGAGTCACCTGGATCATCCTGTTAAATATACAGTCCACTGGACCTCACTCCTGGGGCTCTGGATTCAGCAGGGAGGGGTCCTGGAATCAGTGTGTTCAAGGTCACCCTTCCCCTCTCTCCTCACTGAATCCTGTGACTAGGTAAGTTTGGGGACCACTGGATTAGCTCAGTGGTTCTCAGCCTTGGTCACCTGAGCTTAAAAAAACCAACAGTGGTGGGGCCCCACCTGGCTAATTAAACCAGAACCCCAGAATAGCTGGCCAGAGCCCTGAGAGCCAGGCGAGCTATTCCACTTGGGTTCTTCCCGGAGTCCCAAGGTCCTTTCATCCCTACAAGACTCATGGCTTTGACTGTCTTCCAGCAGCTGCCCCAGCCTCGCTGGGAACTGCTGAGCCCCGCCCACTGACCTCATGTCGACAATCAGGGCGTCCGTGTGTACAATCTTCTTCCAGACATGCTCCACCAGCAGCTCGGAGACCTGGGTGAGCAGCTCACAGTCCCCAAACATATCAAACCTCAAGTAGCCAACGTTGCCCTCAAGCACATTAGTGTGGAAGGAAAACTTGATCAGGTCTTCAAAGACTTCAGGGGAAGGGATCTGAAAGAGTGGGAGGTTGGCTCCGTGTCAGGAGAGGAGAGATTTGAAAGCTCAATTTTTTTTTTTTTAAGGTTCTGAGTATCTTTATTTCATTATTGACCATAGTACTTAAATGGACAGTTAGCTCCGCTAAAGAAGAAAGTCCAGGTCAAACTCTCCCATAGCCATGTTTCCCTGTTCTCCTGCCAAACCATGCCCAGCATCCACACCTTGTCACTTCTGCCATATACAGTGAAAGGTCAGATTTGAAAGTGGGTGTCACGGAGGTCCTTTATATCATGAGATATATTGAGCCCACGGGAAGGGAGCTAACATTTCCTAAGGAGGTTGTAGGTGCCAGGGCCTTTCCTGATGGTATCCAGGAGGTTACATGGGTAGTGGGCCTGGGATATGAACCCCAATGAGTGGTCAGCAGCCTCCTTACAGGGAATGCTCATGGGTGCCAACCTCTCACCCTGGCATCAGAGCTGAAAGGCCCAGGCACGGTCTCCCCTGAGCTCCCCAGACACGTTTTGTCTCTGAGCTCATCGTCTAAAGACATCATCATCTGAAGACATGAACTACTGGGCCCTTGAGTCTTTACTAGGGATCTGGCCCTGTGCTGAGCATGTTGTAGCAGTTACTGTAGAGAAGACACTATTATCCCCATCTTTTTACTGAAAAAAATTGAAGCACAGAGTGATTAAGTAACTTGCCCAAGGGCACACAGCCAGTAAGTGGAAGAGCCAGAATATGAGTCCACACCAGGTGACTGCAAACCAGGAACACCCCTGCTGACTAGGACACCCGGCCTCCAGGCCTTGTGCTGACCTCAGTCACAAGCCCTTTGGCCATCGGCTGCTCTCCTCTGTACCCCTCCGAGCCTCAGTTCCTCTTTTTGTAAAATGGGATAACAGTTCAGCAGTAGATGCTTTTGGTGCCCTCAGCCCTCCTCTGATTTCAGCCACAGCTTGACCCAGGCTGACAGGGCTTTGCCTCTAGCATATCCTTGTTTTTTACTCTCTACTTCAGGACCTTCTCCAAGCTGCCCCAGAATCTGAGAGCGTTCATGTCCCCAGGGGGACCTTCAGCTAACAGAGAGCGGGAGCCGCGGGGTCACGTCTGCAGAGGCATTCCTCACACTCGTCAGGGTGCTGTTGCAGTCTTCAGAGGCAACAGGCTCCATGATGCGCCCACACTTCCTGTCCCACTTTCCCCGCTCCCTCACTGCCGCTTCAGTGACCACTTCCCACATCAACGGACTGCACCTAAGCCCCTGTCTCAGGTCCTGGCTTCGAGGGAACCAGGACAAATGCTTCCCTGCCTACTTGTTGTGACTACGCAGTTATATCATAGACGATAAACGCCATGGAGAGGTGTTGGAAAGGTGCTTTAGATCCAGCTCTTTGCTGATGGGAGTGCTTGGTGAGTCCTGCGGTGTGCTTTGGCCCTTGATCGGGAGAACGTTTCCCTCATCTACCCTGCAGCAAAACTCCTCAGCCTTGATTTACCTTTTCAGTGTTCCCCAGACCTGCAGTGCTGGCTTCAAATATCTTGACCACAGAGCCTGGCCCAGAATTTCCCATTCAGTTGGCCCTTGTATCGTGGTGCACGCCCACCTGGCGCAACTCCTTTGGGAGACAGTACTTGGCATTGTGGGAGGGGAGGAGAAGGCAGTCGGTGCCTAACCAAGGCAGCCTCACTGCAGGGGTTGTTCAGGCTGTGTGTGGACGCTCCTGGACCTGTCCCCAGGCTCCATGCTCTAGATCCAAGGCAACTGTGATGCCAGGACCTGTGCTGGTTCCCTGTCTCCATCCCCCTGACTCATTCACACAAACTGCAAACCCCTGAGGCAGGCAGGTGATGTGGGTACACACACCCCACATTTCCAGAACAGGAAATCACGGGGACCCATGTGACTTGTCAACCTCTTTCTCCAACACCGACAATGAGAAGCCCTACAAACCCTTGCATTCGACCCAACCAAGAGTGAAGCTCCTGCTATACTAGCACTTTTCAAACTGAGCTCCTGTGGGTACCGATGTTCTGCTGAGGTACTTAGGGACCTCGTGGGCATATGAGGGACTGGAGGACAGGGTGAGAGAGAGGAAAAGATGTGACTGGTGAAAAATTTAACATGAAAACACGTCTGGAAGCCATTGCTTTGCACCCTGCACAGAGCCCTGGATGTGCGGACAGTTGGTTGACTCTCTCCTGGGACTGTGCTGGACCAAGTCTCCCTTGTAACTCACCTGCATGGGTACAATCCCAGGAATGCGGTCCTTGGCATCCTCAGGGATATGGGCTGTCTTCAGGTGTGGGTCCCCGGACAGCACCTGCAGGTCAGCCTCCAGCATCTCGGCCAGGGAAGCTTCTGAGGTCACCCTGGCATAGCGGCTCTGCAGACGGCTCAGTTTGGATGCCATCTTGGCTCCCAGCTCGGGGGAGGCGTAGTTATCTGCCACGAGCTTCCCAGCTGTCTGCAGCACAGTGGGCACCTTGGCACGCAGGGCCACTATGTCCTGGGCTGTGGAGAGGGCCACGCTCATGGGCACGGTGATGTCTGGCTCCACCCCAGCCAGGTCCCAGGCCTCACCGGTGCTGGCGCTCAGGGCCATCTGCGTGGGCATGGAGGCATATAAGGGGCTGCTGCCCACCTGGTAGATGCCCACGGAGAGCGCCCCTCCAGCCGTGGGCTCCCCGATGATGGTGGCGCGCTGCAGGTCCTGCATGGTGTGGGCGAAAGCCTCAGCCGCCGACCCGCTGGTGTGGCTCACCAGGATGTAGAGGTCCTTGTGGGAGCCGTAGCGCTGGCCTGCCACCTGGGGCAGGGTCCACACCTCTGTGACCCTCGACGTGGCCCTGTCAAAGACGGAGTAGAGGTGCTGGCGGGGCTCTGCCTCGAAGAAGTAGGAGCAGAGAAGCGGCACGGCCGTGGAGTAGCTGCCAGGGTTGTAGCGCAGGTCGACCACCAGCGCGGGCGTGTCTACCAGCTTCTGCCACACCAGCTGTACCAGCTGCGGCCCGATGGCTTTCACCGTCTCCAGCTCAGCCATGGCGTCGAAACGCAGGTAGCCCAGCCGGCCCGGCAGCACCTCTGTCTTGAACAGGGCCTCGATGAGGTAGGAGAGCTCCTCTGGGGAGGGGACGATGGGAGGTGGTAGGGGCACTTCCTCAGCCACCATCTCGCCAGGGCTGTGGAACACCAGCAGACGGTGGTCTCCAGACATCTCCTGCAGGTCTGCCGTGAGCTGGGAGGCCAGCGACTCCAGGTCCACTGCTGTGCGGTAGGCCCCCTGGGCCAGCTTGGCTTGCAACACGGCGCCTGTCTGCCCCACGACCTCTGGCCGAGCATAGTGGGCCTCCAGCAGGTGCCCCGTGCCCTCCACCAGCTCCCCCAGGCTTCGGTGGAACTCCAGCACCTCCTGGGCTCTGTCCAGGGCTTCCTCAGCCAGTACGATGGCATCGGGGACCACGCCGCCCCCCAGCCAGCACTCGCCATGGTTGTCGATGAAGGTGAGCACGGGCACTGTGAGCGCCAGGCCGCCCTCGGGCGTCTCCAGCAGGGGCACCGTGTGCGTGTGCAGCAGGCTGCCCGCCGTGATCTCGCCCACCAGCGTGGCCCAGCCGAGAGACTGCATGAAGAAGGCCAGCTCCTCGGCTGCGGTGGCGGTACGGTGGCTGGTGAGCAGGTACACCCCACGCTGGGTGCCGTATGGCTGGCCCAGCAGCTCGGTCTGGCTGAAGTGCTCCTGCGTGACATTGGTGCGCCGGTCGTAGGTGGTGAAGAGACGCACGGGGCCGGCGTCGGGTCCCTGGAAATAGGACAGCAGCAGGGGCACGGCGGAGGACGGCCCCCCAGGGTTCTGCCGCAGGTCCATGATGAGGTGCTCCGTGTCCTGCAGGGGCTCCCACACCTGGCGCAAGATGTACGGGGCCAGCACTCCCAGCACTGAGGCGTCAGCAAACCTGTCAAAGCGCAGGTAGCCCACGTTGCCCGGCAGCACGGACACCTGGAACACGGAGTCCACCAGGGCCCGCCGGGCAGCCTCGTCCTCGGGCACTTCGGAGACCATCTCCGGGGGGTCTTCAGCTTCGTCCTCGGGCCCAGAAGAGGTTTCTTTGGACCTGACCACCTGCACCAGGAGCCTGGGGTCCTCGGACACGGCCTGCAGGCCGGTGTTGAGCTTAGTGACCAGATCCTCCTCGGAGACCACCGAGGACAGGTCCATGTTGGCCAGGTGGTGCAGCAGGGCGGGCACGCGGTCCACCAGCGTGTAGTATTCCCGCAGGGCCTCCTGCAGGCGCTGGATGACCCCCGGCAGGGCGCGGCGCAGCGTGAGGATGGCCAGGGCCTTCTCCAGGGCCTGCTCGGCCGGTGTCCCCACACAAGGCAGCACCCCGCTGCCCTCCCAAGTCTGGCTGCCCTTGCCCAGGGGCCCCAGGGACCTGGACACAGGCACTGTGAGAAAGAAGTCAGACTGGCCTATCCTCAGCTTCTGGAGGTCCAAGGCCCCCCCCACAGTCCGCTCGCCCACCACGATGGCCCTGCGCATCTGTTTGAGGATATAAGCGATGTCCTCAGCCACACCCCCCGTGCGACCACTGGTGAGGACCACCACATCCTTATCGGCACCGTAGTTGTCTCCTAGGACTTCGGGGAGGGTCCAGATCTCAGTGGTCGTATTAGAGGGGCGATCGTAGATGGTATCCACATGCAGGACTGTGTTCCCTGGGTGCAGGTAGGAGATGACATAGGGGATGCCGGAAATGTGGCCCCCAGTGCAGTGGCGGAGGTCCAGCACCAAGGCAGAGGTGCCCATGAGCTTCCTCCAGACGTTGGCCGCCAGGAAGCTCCTCAGCTTGCTCATCACCTCCTGGCCCGGGATGTCGTCCACCCGCAGGTAGCCCACATTGCCTTCCAGAACCTCATGGCGGAAGCCGTTCTGCAGTCCCGCAATGAGTTCCTCTAGCGTGAGGTTCTTGAGTGCTGGGGCTTGCCGGGGAGCCTCGAGGGTGCTGGGCTCGTAGGAGATGACCAGGCGAGGGTCGTTCAGGGAGCTCTGCACGCCAGCTGTCAGCACATGGGCCAGCGTCTGAGGGTCTGAGATGGCCAGGATCTCACGACTCTTGATGGCCTGCTCGATGGCTTCCTGCATCCCCATCAGGTTCTCTGGGAAGCAGTAGTTATCCAGGAGGACCTTGGCCATGTCCAGCACCAGGCTCGGCTGGAATAGGTGTGTAGGGCCAGCCAGGCTGCAGAGCAGCATGGGCAGGAGCAGGGCCCATTTTCTTGACATGGGGATCCAGAGGGAGGGCTGGCTCCTGCACAAAAGCTCTCGACACCGTGCGCCAGGCAACAGCACTGCCCTGCGCGGCTGCCTTTCTCCCGCGTCCTTCTCAGCCAGCGGACAGAAGGTCTGGGGCTAAACACGGGAGTTGGGGTGCAGCTTCCAGCTCCGGTAAGCCTTTAATCCTGTCTAATTCAAGCGCATCAGCCCTGGGGACTGGGGAGAAGCGGCGGAAGTGGTTTGACTCAGAAGGTATGTGGGGTCTCATCTTGCTGCGCCACCTCTGGTAGACTAACGTGAGTAACTACCGTTTGAGTTCCTGCCACGTGCCACGCACTGTGTTCCATGCTTTACAGGCTGACAGTCTCCACCTTGCAAAGCAGAGTTATTAACCTGCAAGTAAATAGCATTTCCCCACTGCACTGGGCGACACACCCCTCTGGAATTAGGGAGAACTTGGGGGCCTGGTGTTGCCACACTTTACTCTGTGGCCTTAGGGAAGTGTCTTACTTATTGTGTAGATTAAGTGACAAAATATGGGCAAGGCACTTGACAGCATCAGGGAAGAAGGAAGCACTCAATTACTGATAAGTTCTCCATGTCAGATAGTTGCTCTGTTTTGTAGCTGAAGAAACAGAGTTCAGTAGCTAACGGAAGCCCACCATCCTAGGCGGGGGGATGTGAGGGCAGCCAGAAGAAGCCTGTGGGGTCACCGTCACTTAGACGGCGCCGAGGTTGAGTCTGAGGCTCCATCTACTTCACGGCTTGAAGTTTATTCCCCTGTCTTGCTAATGCATCCAGGGAACCGAAGTGGTTCCCCCCGACAGCTTTCAGATGATAGGAGAGAAATGTCTGAACTGCATTGTGGGGCATGATGAACGGGATTGGTGATTCCAGGGCAGATGAAGTTAGCGCTGAGATCTAACAAGCATCCATTATCCTGGCTAAAGAAGACCCTCGCTGGTTGAGGGCTCGGCCCCTGGCCCACTGCTTGCAAGGAGAACTGAGTTGGAGGACTTAGGTGTCTGTGGTCCAGACCCCACAGGTTTCCAGATCGTCAGTCCCCAGAGAACTGCTGGACGCCTGCTCCTTCACATAGAAGTGGTGTGGGTCCAGCTGGTGACCGATTTGGCACAGATTTCCAAGAATACCTACCACGGAGCCTAGACCCTAGAACCCCTGCTTTGTCTCCCCATCCCTCTGGGAGTGGGCATTGCCCTCACTTAACAGATGAGACAGCTATGACTCAGAGTGTGGTCACATAGCCAGGGACGAGCGCTGGGAGAGCCGCCTGGCTGCACTCTTTTCCCTTCGCCCCGTTACCGCCAGTGCACCCTCCTGGGACCGGGTGGCCACAGGCTGGCGCGCACGTGTGCCTCAGCCGGCAGCCGGAGGAGGTGGTCTTGGGGCCGGGGGACCTTCTCAGCACGCTAGACAGCCACAATCCGCTCTCTGGAAATCATTATCTGAGGATGTTTACCAAGTGGTTGATGAAGGCCAAAGAGGTCAATTAGCTAAAACAAACATATTCTTAGCTCATTAGGATTTGTTTAATGCCCAAGTGACATATGGTCACATCACTCCACCGTTTGCAGCCAATCAAGTGAGACTGATTTATTATAATAATAAGGCCTCCTTAGTCCCCACTGGGAAGGCTGAGCCCTCTGCTCCACTGCCGCTCGGGGAATCACAACTCGGAACATGCCAGTCTCATCCTCTGAGGGCACTTTTCCATCATCGCTTGAGCCCAGGCAAAGCCTCTGGACCAGGAAAGGTACAGGTGAAGATGAGCAGGAATAAGTATCTCCCTGGGGAAAGTGTTTCCCCTGGACTCATTAAAATGCAGCCTCAGGATGCGATGCCTGGAGCTGGTGTGGGGCTTTGATTTCTGTGGATGGCCCAGAGCCTCAGGGAGGACGTAGAAGCAGGCCTGGGGTCTGTTGCAAGTCCCTGAGGTGCCCAGGTTAGTGCCTGCAAGGGGAGATGATGTGTCCTCCTGTGGGTGTGGCCTGAGGCCAGTGGGAGGAGATTCTGTCCCCAGAGTTCCCCAAGCTCTCCAGGAGGAAGGGGTGTCCTGGCCCCCAGTTGAGGGGGGCATAAGCAGGTGGCAGCTGTCTAAGGTGAGCACGTTCTGGGCAAGTCCCATTGCGGGAGCCAGGAGGAGCCTCCACGCAGCCTCGGCCAGCTGTCGGCCCAGGGGCTACAGAGAGTCCCATTGTGATCTTGGGGGTTGAGTTTGGAGTTGGGATGCAGTCAAAGCCCCTGCCTCCCCCTCACTTGTACAAGCAGCCATGTGGGCAGAGGTGTTAAGAGCACGGGCTAAGAAGCCGTCCCCAAACCCTACTGCTTTCTAAAGTACAGACCCAGATTAAGTGACATGACTGCTCTGGCTTCCTCAAAAGGGAAACAGGATAAGGAGAAGAGCCTCACAGTATTGTTGTGACAGTGTCAGTAGGTATGATGAAGAAGCCGAGGTCACAGTAGCAGCTGACGAGTGGCAGACAGCCTGTGATCAGAGCTCCCCAGTGGGGTTGGGGAGAGATAACCCAAGAGGCAGGGGTTGTCTTAGGGACCCTGGGGGTACCAAGTGCTTCTGAAGACCCAAACCTTCCATGGGCTTCTGTGTATCTGGAGAGTCTGTACACCTGAGAAAGGTCCTGACACAGTGTTCACTCCAGAGCACACTCCAGGGAGATTAAAAGGGGGACAGTGTGGCACAGATGGTGTGCTACTGGGAGTCAAATGGAGCACACCTGGAGCCTGGGCAATCCCAGAAAAAGCTAATCTCCTGCTACATTACGGATTCCCTTTTTGCAGTGGTCAGAGGCCTTGTCTGTCTGGTTATTTATCCATTCATCTTCCTATCTATCTATCTACATACCTACCTATCTATTGTTTTATGTTAGTTTTCCCCTCAGTGTTCATTATGGTCATTTTCAAGTGGCACAGCAAATATCCATGACCTATTCACCTCGATTCTACCATTGACATTTTATTACCCTTCCTTTCTCTCACCTCTGTCTCTCTGGTCCCCTCTCTAACCCTCAAGCCAACATATTTTGGGAATGTATTTCAAAGCAAGTTGAATCTTGACTTTATTTTAATCCTTTTTCTTTTTACTTTTCTAAAAATAAAAAGAAAACATACTCATATTTGCAAGTTAAATAATTCATAAACGTATGAACAATCTTCTCCCAAAGCCTTTCTCATCCAGCCAATAATAACAGTTTAATGTGTAGCTGTCCTCACTTCACTTTTCTCTGTGTTCATATGTGGAAGCACATATGTAGAAGATCTATCTGTCCATCCATCCATGGATCTGCCCATCTATGATGCTCATCTCTCCGTCCATCTACCTAGTGTCACCTCATAATAGCACACAGGATAATTTGCATTTTGTTTTACTCACTTAAGCATACAGCAGAAACAACCTTCCAAGTTGAAGCATAAAGTTTGTTCTTTTAATGGCTGCATAATTGTCCTTGACAATTTACTGATCTGTTTCCCTAGCAAAAGATATTTTAAGTTGTTTCTGTTTTTGCTTCTATAAACAATACTGTGATAAGTGTTCTCAAATACATGTTCTTAGGACTAGTACTTCTTGCTTCTGTAGAAAAATTTCCAAACCTGGGCTTGCTGAATCAAATGGTTGGACACTTGTTTATTTATTTTTTCTTTATTATATTTTTAGTAACTTTACAATTATATAATAAATGTCTATTTTTTCTTTTTATATTTTTACAACTTTGTTATGTACGATTGACATACAATAAACTGCCCATCTTTGAAATGTACAATTTGGTGAGTGTTGACATGTGTATACACCCATGAAACTATCACCACAGCAAGGTAATGTATCTTGCCCTCATCCTCAAATTTTCCTCATGCCCCTTTGTTATCCATCCCCTTGCATCTCCATCTCCAGGCAAACACTGACAAACAGACATGCTGCTGAGTGTACCATTGGGTCACTTATTTTATTGCTGAGTAGTGTTCCATTGTATAGATATACCACAATTTACTATCCACTCACATGTTGATAGAACTACAGTTTGCTTCCAGAGTGTAACTATTACAAATACAGCTGCTGTGAATATTTGAGTATAAGTTTCTGCGTGGATGTATGTTTTTATTTTCACTAGGACAAGAATGCATGTTTAACATTTTAAGAAACAATCTAAATGTTTTCCAAACTTGAAATTTCTACCAGCAACATATGAGACTTTCAATTCCCCCACATTAATGCCAGCAATTTGTATGCATGGTTAGACTTTTAAATTTTGACTATTATAATGGATATATAGTACCTTCTCATTGTGATTTTAATTGGGACTTCCTTGATGACTAATTGTGTTGAGCATCTGTTTGTATATTTATTGACCATTTGTATATATTCTGTAGTAAAATGTCTGTTTAAACCTTTTTCCCATTTGTAGGGGGTAGGGAGAGGAGGCTGTTTTTGTCTTACTATTGATCAAGTAAGAATTATTTGTACATTTTAGATATGAGTCGTTTGCCTGATGTATGTATTGCAAATATTTTTTCGCAATCTGTGGCTTGTCTTTTCATGTCCTTAACAGTGTCTTTTGAAGATTAAAAGTTCTTGATGAATTCCAATTTATCATTTTTTTCTTTTATGATTCATACTCTTGGTGCTATATCTAAGAAATCTTTGCCTATTCCAAGGTCACCAAGCTTTTCTTTAATATTTTGTTCTAGAAGTTCCATAGTTTTAGTTTTTACATTTATAATCCATTTTGAGTTAATTTTTGTGTATGTGTATATTTATTTTATTGTACGAGGAAGGGGTCAAGATTTTCTTTTTCCATGTCAATATCCAGTTGCCAACACTAGTTGTTGAAAAAACTTTCCTGTCCCTTTGAATTGCCTTGGCATTAGGTCAAAAAGTGATTAACCACATTAATTGAGTGGGTCTATTTCTCTACTCTCTGTTCTGCTGTATTCTGTCTGTTTTTTCACCAATACCACACTGTTTTGGTTACTATAGTTTATAGTATGTCTTGAAATCATGTAGTGTAATCCTGTGAACTTTGTTATTCTTCATCAAAATTATTTTGGTTATTCTAGTTCCTTTGGATTTATATGGATTTATCTAA